GTAATGTTTTTAAATTGATGTTTTATGTATTTATATATATTTATGGTTTTAATGTTTGTGTAAGTCGCCCAGAGTTCCCGCATTGGGGGGAGATGGGCAGGGGAGAAATTTAATAAATAAATAAAAATAAAATAAATTTCTTTCCAAGTGAAATACCTAGTGCTGGTTAGTATTTTTAAAACCCTGTATGATTTGGACTAGGGTATTTGAGAGAAAGCCTTTTTTAGGGATGTGCAAAACATTTTGTGCAGAAGCCTAAATAGAATTAATACAGGAAGAGAAGGAGCCATTGCCAGATAAATACCTCATTTAAGGATTTAAACATCTGTCAGGGGTACAGTTTGTCCCCTCCTTCAATATGTATCTGGATGTTGTTGCAATTCATCTTCAGTTTGAGCATATTATTAAGTTTGTGAAAGGGAAACTCCCACAAACTTGCATTCCATCTGATACTGGGCTCAATTTATTCAGATTATATAGCCAATTTTCTGTTGAACAATTTGCCCATCAAGCAACTCCTTGTTTTCAATATGTTTACTAAAGAAAGTATCAGAATGGGGTTTTGATTATGGCAGAGCCAGTATTATTCTTTCATTTTTTAAAAAACAATTTCAAAAGTTCTTAAAATACTTAGTTTGATTAAATGCAGTGTGCTTCATAAGGGGACAAAAATTCCCCACTACCCACATACAGAGGACCTGAGTAGATTGTGGGGCAGGGGTGGGGAGATGAAGTTGAGGTAGCAGATAGATGAAAGAAAAAGTTGAGTGTGCATAGTAGCAACAGGGGGGAAAATTAGTGTTGGGTGTATTAAAAACATCAAAATACCAATATCATAATGCTTATATATCTATGACATGGTACATTTAGAATTCATTATACAGTTTGGTGGCCTCATTTCAAAAGGATTATTGTCAATTTGAAAGAAGAGCAGTCAAAATTCTAGGGGTCTACTCATACAAAGAAAGGAAGAGGGATGAAAGGAGATATTTTGTTTCTGTTTTTTTTGTAAAAGAAAGGTAGCAATACTGCCTGGTGCAGTTGCAGGATGGGGTTATAAAGCACATGGTGGACTATAGGGAGAGAAACTGGAAAGTGAAGCATTCAGGACTGTATGACAGGTAAAAGACATCTTGCCAGAAATCCCCTCATGCCATTCCTAACTGTCCCCCAACACACCTTGGCAGCCTTGATGTATAAAGTATGTGCATGCATATACACATACACACACGAACATAAAATAATAGGTTTGCTCCTCCTTAAAACTAGTGCTGGTAGTCTGAAGGAACAAAATTAATTGGTGTTAAATCCGGGACAGACAAAGGGAAGTGGGAACTACACAACACCCATCTAGTCATATTTACAGAATTTGCTGCCACAAGTTGTAAAGGCCAAAACTGCTTTTAAAAAAGATTGGACAGTTAGAGGTGAGGGTAAGGGCAGCAACATGTCATGAAACATTTGATTCAACCATTGGGAAGCATTTCTTTGTCCTTGGAAGCTTCTCAAGGGGAGCTAATTGCCCAGTTTAGGAGACAAGATGCTGCAACAGATGGTCCTTCTATATGAATAAGCACAATTCTTTCAAAGGCTGTCTTAATACTTCTGAGCCAGTTTTGCCAGACTGACATCCTTCAGACAAGTTGGGATTGCAAATCCAGAATTCTCCACCATAATGTCCAAGTTAAGAGGAGGCTTGTGTAGACTGACATCCATGAAGCTGTTAAAATAGCCCAAATGTTCTCCATGAAATTACAACATAGTCATGCCAAAAAAACTATGAAAGTTGAAAAATACTCTACATGCTATCTGGTAACCTATCATCCACTCCAGCTGTAACAGAAGTGAAAATATATTGAAGCTTCCCATTTCTCTATCATGGAAACCAAGCTCAAAGAGCAACTTTTGCTGTCAGTGTTTTGAATACTCAAAGATCTTCAAGCTGATTGTGAGGTTTCATTCAGATGGTCTGCAGCAAAGTTGCAGAATAAAAATATCTTTGCATGCCCTTTAGCTGTACACATAAGTAACACAACAAAAAAAGTTTAATATGGCCCACAAACACCTTCAGCAATTTTTGAGTGATCTGAACAACAAAAGTTTGAGAGTTATTAATGAGTTTCTTAAAGATATCTTATATATAGCTGGAACAGGCAAATTACAGCATATATTGAACTATCCAAGTACAAATGCTATGTAAAAATAAGAAAATCAACTTCCTTGTGTTAGAGAAGACCATCATAGGCATGATTATCACAATAACAGTATTCATATTGCACCATTCTTTAATGTTCCATATAGATGTTTTAGAAATCCTTACAACACCCTGTATTAGGGCCCATATCCCCATACCATTAATTCTAGTGGTCTGGAGTGAAAGAGATTATTCCCAATTCAGATTAGGTTTGATCGAAATTAAAAATAAAATGTTACTTTCTACCACTGAAGTCACTTTTTCATTAGCAGATTCTCCTTTTCTCACTCCATGATGTGGATCCTCACTCATTCATGCTAGAACAAAGGCAGCTCTAGATGACTTTTAGATGGTTCTGGGACAATCTTTCCCACTGGGTCCCTTCAGATGTGTTAGTTTACAACTTCCATATCTACAGCAAGCACAGGGATTTGTTTCTGGAAATTCTGAGGATTACAGCCAACACATTTGGAGTCTACCATATTGCAGTGCCTTAAGAACTCAGGGGATGGCTGGGATATTGTGAAGAAGGAAACCCTTTGCTGTAGCACTTGTTGATATTTATTTCTTTGGTGAAAAGTTTATTGCAATTGTAATTCATTGTTTCATCTTCTTATTTCTTTTGTCAATCTGATGTACTTTTTAAAAATCATTTTACTGATGAGGATTTTGTAAACCACTTTGAGTTTTCATCGATTAGAGCAGCATATAAACCCAAGTAAGTAAATAAAATAAACTTCAGTGTTCTCCATATTAGGCATAAATAGCTTTGTCTCATGAAGTCTGGCAGATGTTACTCTTTCTCCCACTACACTAAATCTGGATTGAGAATATATTCTATGCAATAGATTTTAGAAAAGACATGCCCTAACACCAAGATCTAAACATCTGTTCTTGCACCTCACTAAATCCAAAATTTATACATTTTTCTCTTGTGTGAGATGTATTGTCAGACAAAGAGTAGAAACGTTTCACATTGAAGGAAACAGAAGAAAGTTCAAGTGGATCAATAAAAGAGTAACCCAAATTTGTCCGGCTGGCTCTGAGACTAATGATTGTTCATTTCTTTACTCTGTCCCAGCAAGGTGGCATTCAACATTTGTAAGCTACATTTAATGGGCAGAAGGTTTGTTTTAATATAGTTCATGGCCATTAGAATTTAAATGTCAGGGTTTAACCATCCAGTGAATTGCCTAGCCATGCTATGACATAGCAAATCTTTCTTTCTATAGCCACTCACTATTGGCTGGTAGCACCCTACAGCCCTCTAGATGTTGCTGAATTACAGCTCTCACTATCTTTCCTCTGGCCATCTTGGCTAGACTACTGAGAGAAAGACCAGAGGTGACCTATCCTTTGACCATACTGACACCGGTCAACAGCTATGAATATAAATTGTACATGTAAAACAGAGAAACAACAACAATAATGCTTAAAGCTATTCAAGGTAAATCAAGTTTTGAGGGAGGATTCATCTATCACTGTTCATGATCAAAGTTCACCTTAAAAAAAACAGTTTCAATGCAATTCTCACATAAAAAAGAAATCATACATACTGTATATAAATGTATCTGAAACGTGATCTAACCGTAAATCGTTGTGGTTTAGAGAACATTTGGGTTTTATCAAATTTTGCTACCAACTTCTTAAAATTGTAGCTAAGCCTTCACTTTTTATTAAGACTCCTTCTAGCTGGTAGGCTGTAGTCAGGAAATTAATGGCACTTTCGGAGATGCCTCACGATGGAAGGAAGTAGGGGACAACCAGACCAACCCAACAAATCTCTGTGGCCCCTGTTTATTGATCAGCCTTTTATATAAATATAATTCCCTTTTAAACAGATTCCATTTTTTACAGCAATTGGAAAACAAAATGATCAAGAGCAGCAACAACAAAAAAGACAACAACAAGGTAAAAGAAATGAGTGCGGAGTCTGTGGCGGCTCCGGAGGGCCGCTCCGGAGGTAGTTGCTGAGTCCTAACACTGGTTCTTTTGGCCTGAGGAGGCGGAATCGTGGAGTGGTGAGAGAGAATAGTTCAGCACCCGGACTCTCTCTCCCCCTTACACAGAGCTCTCATCCAGTTTTTCTACCAACTGGGTGTGTTTCCGCTTCTCCAGAATTTTGCTCAGCTCCTCAGTGAAAGAGTTGTACAGTGGTGAAGTACATGGCTCCTCATTCTGTCGCAAGAGCATGTAGCTGTTGCCATTCATCTTGCGCAGCATGTTGGGCAATGTTGAAATGCCGTTGGTGAACTCAGCAGGGAGAGGGGGAGGGGGAGGGGGCAGGGCCAGAGGTGTCTCTTTGGGTGACAAGGCCAAGGTAGTGGCTTCTCCGGGAATGATCTGAAGGCAGCCATCTGGATACGGGCTCAGCTCCTCTTCATCCTGCCTTCCTTTGCTCAGACAATTTGAGGAAACAGTCTGCAGCTCTACACTGGATGACTGGGGACCCCCCAAGTGATATTTGCCCCTGTGCCTCTGCATGCAGAAGACATAGAGAAGCAAAACGCTGAGCACGAAGCACAACCCACCCAGCACTGTGATGACCAGAATGTAGATCAAGTTCATGTTCCCAGCATCAGAACTGGCCAAATGCCAGGATGGGAGGGCTGGAGTGGCGGGTGGCTGTGGCCCCAGTTCTTTGGGCAGCACAGTTAGGGCATAGGTGGCTATCAAGGCCTGCAGGCCATTCTCCTCAGCGTAGCATTGGTATTCCCCACTATATTCAAGCTGTGTGTCTGTCACCAACAATCCATCTACGCCTAAGCGGAAGTGTCTTTGCCCATCCTCAGCAAGCCCTTTGGTGCCATTCACCATCCAAGTCGCCCGTGCCAAGTTGGATGTCTGCTCACAAGGCAAGAGCACATCACCACCATGAAGCACTGTCCGGTTCTTCTGCACGGGCATAGCTGCAAGAGACACAATAACAGACAAGGGCGCTCTCACTACCCAGCCTGTTGTAATAATTCAGGTGTCAGAGCACAGCATCACTTTAATTAGGGAATTTAATTAATTAGGGAAGAAGGACTTGGGACTCTCAATCTGAAGGAGGTAAGATTCCAAGTGCTCAGGTAAGAATGAAAACTTCAAAACTCTGAAAATATGGTTTAAAAAAACCAAACCAAGTGCCTTGCCTTTGTAGGAAAGAAAAGAAAAGACAGTCTGGGGACAGCATTTGCAGAGACCCAGATATCTAAGCTCAGGACAGGAATGATCACAACCGCTTCATACAACACCTCTTTCCAGTGACTGTGTCCTTCTATGCCCATGACTCTAATCTACTTACTATTTCCATGTTCTTCTATCACTTCACTGAACTTGCTTGCAGGACCCAGGAAATTATTTTTGAAAGCAGAAGAAACCCACAAAGCTAAGAACTATATGCAGATTGCCTGAATGTGTATCAACTATTTTCTGCATGCATAACTGGGGTTTTGTTTTTATTCTATATTGGTCATATTTGGTTATCTAGGAACAACACTAAGTCTGCACAGGGAGAAGAAAAGTGATCTGCTACTCTTTCTGTTCAAAAGAAATAGGAAGCAGATGATCTCTCTTCTGAATGATCTTTATCTCAAGCCAGAATTCCTAAGAAAGAACAGGAGACTAAGGTGGGAGGAGACTCACAACCTTACCCTGCACAGAGTCATTCCAGCAGCCCAGGTTGCCATGCAGCACATCTTGGATCAGCAGAGACCTGGTGAGAATAAGCAGGACTCTGATCAGCTGGGAAACAGCAGCAGCAGCAGCAGCTAAAGGCACTTCAGTGAAATTTCACTGGCATTAACATACCTGTATGCAGATTCTTTAACACATACACACATATATAAACGCTCACCTGCTAAGCACTCCAATATGGACAATAAGCAAACTGTAGATCTCACCAGCACTTCTTATTTCATCTCACAGTCTAATATGTAGTCTATAGAGACCTACATACTCAGCCAGCACATAATAACAGCACAAAATAAAGAGCTCTTCAGAACTTAGATGAAACTAAGATTGTGTATATGGGGTATTGATCCTTAGGATCTGGGGAGACCTAAACTGAACCTAAACTCTGTATTTTTATAAAGAAATAGACAAGAGATATTTATTTAAAGAAACAGGAGATATTTATTTAAATCTGCTTTTAATTATGTTTAATGAGTGGCTGCCTTACATTTTTGGGCTTTTAATTTTTGGAGGGGATCAGCTTTTATTATGCTTGTGTATAATAGTTGAAATACTTTGTAGCTGAAATTGGGTTGGTGCACTCCAGGTTCCACTGATTAAACAATCCACCTATTGGGGCCTTGGAAGCACGCCTTTTCTGTAGCAGCGCCTGCCCTCTGGAATGGGGTTCCCCCTGGAATTCGAACGGCTCCCATCCTACCGGGGTTTCGCAGGGCCTTAAAGACCTGGCTCTGTGCCCAGGCCTTTGAAGAGGACAACTGATGCCCTTTCTTCCTTTCTGTTTCCCCTCTGGATTTGTTTTCCTTCCCATCGTTGTTCTTTTGTCTTGTGCCGTTTTCCTGTTTTTTTGTATTGCTTGTGTAAACCTCCCAGAGTTGCTGGGAGTTGGGCAACGTAGAAATTTAATAAATAAATAATAATGAAATGCTTTTAATTTTTTTCAACTATGTTCTTTATTATTGTAAGTGGCTTGGGAATTACAACAGACTCTCAATATGATAAACCTAAGCCAAGTTTTAACAAACACCAAAGCAAGTCACAGGAGAGTCCTACTGGATGTCTTCTTTTGAATGAAATGGATAGAGAAGGCATAGTTCAGACCTAGTGTGGCTCTATTGATCTAATAGGCAGGATGGCTGCAGAAGCTGCAGCACATCCTCAAAAAAACAGCCTGACCTCATTTAGAGACAGGAAGCCTGAACCCACATTTTCTTCTTCACTATCAACATTTTCATACCTGTCCAGCACGTCAGCTACTTCTCGGCAGCTCTTGCCATCCCAGGCACAATACGGATCCCGGGCCAGGATGCAATTGAAGCAGGAGATGTATTGCCTACAGGTGGACAGTGGTAACTGCAAGACACCACTCTGAGCCCCAACATATAAGTTCCTCTGCAAAACAAGGATACTTAGCACAGATACCGCATATATTCTTGACAAGCGAGTTGGTCATGTTCCTCCCAGCTGCTCAGGCAGGGTACTGATACTGCCAACTTATAGATGAATGGCAGTTTAAAGTGCAAGATTCCAAGGTCAGGCTCAAGACACGGAAGAGTGGAAATGTTAAAACATGGACAGGACTCTTTACCACTTAAACTTCCACTGACCCTCTCCAGGAAAACACAGAGCGGGCTTCTGCGATGCAATTACTCAGATTCATTCACAAAAATGTACAAGGAGTCCAGATAACCCAATGTGACCCTTTCTTATTTTCCCAGTGCTCCAACCTCTGTTTTTATTTCCACAAAACAGTTTTTTAAATAGAAAGAACACAGCATACTTAATCAGTTCAATTAAAGAACTAGCAGCTGTGCTTCCACCAACTTGGTTAGGGGTTAATCTTGTTTAGGTTTTTAGTGTGCTAGTTCAATAAGCAGGTTAAGCATGTCATGTGAATGGAATCAACAGCTGCCCAACTATTTTTTTGTTCCTGTACTAGTACTAAGATCTGGAAGCACTCTGTGGTTGCAAATGGCCTAGTACTCTATTTATCCTTCCCATCCAGGTAGATACAGGGATGGAATTAGAAGGCCACTGTTAGGTGATGGAAAGAGGAACAGTAAAAGAAAAGGTCACAAAGCATGACCCTGTTCCCACAATACAAAGACCCCAGTTAGTTACTGACCTAGTCAGATATTTTTTACTGGTGCTTCTGGCAACAGTGATACTATCTGGATCAAAAGTCTCAATTTTGTGAACATAAAATACCTGCCAGGAAATAATCAGTACCCCATCAGTTCTTGCACCAGGAGAATTCTAGCATAACTTTACTACCAACTTGTCCTTCCCATCAGCCAGGCAGAAAGCACTAGGTATAGTTCAGTTGCTGTAATTTATCATTATCTGAGAAATGTATTATGTGCTGCCAGGCCTTGGCAGTGGCACAGTAATGGAGAGGCTTGCTTTTTCAGCCATTCTTTCTCTTCAGATCTTTTCTTTGGAGAACCAGGGAGGCAAACAGGCAACTAACTTTGTTTTGATATTCCTATGGCACGGCTGAATGGTGGAATTAGTTTATGCAAGATTTGGTTGGTTTGGGGCTATGTTTAACCCCTCAGTGGTTAGCTGAATCGGTCAACTGACCCTTTTTTGGTGTTTCCATAACACATTAATCCTCTACTAATCCAGTTAAACACGTGGGAGCAAATCCAATGACTGTGTTCATATCACACATATAGCCACACACTAGGCAAGCACCTTTTAGCTTAGCGTGTAACACAAACTCAGCCTCTATGGGTAGTGTATCATGTGAACCCAGGCAATCTGGGTTAATGAAGTAAATCATGGTTACTCGGGTAGGTGTGCTATGTGAACAAAGGGCATGAAAATTACCTACCAATAGTGGCCATGTACCAACAGTTCTGCCTCTGGCCTCTCTAACTACTCTATCCTTCTCCTCTTTCTATGAATAGAATACCTCTCTCTCAGAACAGCGTTCTGTATTTCTGCTAAAGAGGATTATGATCCACAAAAGATTATGCATAGATTTCTTAGTCTTTGAAGGGCCAGAAGACTCTTTGTTGTCTTGGCTGCAGCATCAGAGTTTTTCCAGCAGAGGGAAGCAGTGAAACAGGACACGGCGCTAGCATTACCCATGCAGCCATTTATTCCACATAGATCAAGAGTATTATTCTGCCAAGTCCATGTCCTAGTATACACAAGTCCAATAGCAACCTTCATATCAAAACATCTAGGAATAGACATTTTCTGTTTAATGGAAGACAGGCCAAAAAAAAAAAAGTCAATAAAATAAAAAACGTTAGGAACCAAAACTTCCAGAACACGGCCACACAGCCCCGAAGACCCACATCAGCCATCGTATTCCAGCTGTGAAAGCCTTCGACAATACATAAAATAAAAAACAGTCTCTCTCCTTGCATCCCACTTGCATTTTCCCTCCAGCAAGCATCCTAACGTATAGGAATTAACCAAGTATAGCTACTCCCTCTTTTCATCTCTGAGCCAAGAAAAGGATTGCTAGCTAAATATTGTTTCTCCAGGTGATATGACTGAAAGGCACAGAAACAGATTCAGTTAAACATAGAAATGTTCTGTCCAAAGAAATGGCCCAAAGACCACACCCTGGGCATATCATATCTGGGCTGCAAGTGACCACTAGATGACAGCAAAGACACAGAGAAAACTCTGATTCTGTGCTGCCATCTAGTTTCCCCTGGATTTTTGCAGCCCAGATATGTTAATGCCTACAATACTAATAACTTAAGTTTTAGGGCAGCCTTTCCCATATCCTCCAGATGTGTTGCACTCCAACTCTTCACACCCATGCTGGATGAAGATGAAGAGTAGTCCAGTTTATCTGGGGAGAACCAGAATGAAGAAGGCAAGCATACAGATTAAACATTATTCCCTCCTGCAGCATCTCACATAGGCCATAAATCAATTATACCATTTAAAATTTAGAATAAACTTGGGAATGAAGCTGAAACAGAGTCACTTCTTTTTTGCCTGATGGGAACAGAGAAATTCAGCAGGAGAAATGCTAACATAAAGATACAATCCCCATGTGCTGATTTTCTTTCCAGCAGTTATTAAAGCATATAATGAAAGATGTCAAGGAAAAAAACAAAACAAGACCTGCCAGCCTTGGAAGATTTAGTGGACGCTTGGGACCTTGGAAAGAAACCATAGAAACTGGGAAGCAAGTATCCTCACAAAGGAACTAGAATAGCAAGCTCTAAACACTTGTGAAAGGACAGCCACATGATTAGTCCTTGGACAAGTGGTAGTTAATACACTGGGTGGACTACTACTAAGAACAAGGATAAATAAACACCCTCAAGGCAACCCTTTACCTAGGAGTGGCACCATCACCAGCAGAACCTTCATCCACACCATGATTCCACTACTGTAGTTGTATTTTTTTCCCTTTATTTTATGGAGGGCAAGCTTTGAGCAGAGCCACCCTTTCTTTCAAGCTACAACATCACATTTTAATGCTATTGGCAGACAGAAAGCAGATCTGGACTGCTGGATGATTGGTTTCTATTTCTCAATTATACAGTATATTGATAACAACAAAATTGTTTCTTTTTTCACCTGAATTACACTAGAGAAATAAAGAAAGCTCAAGGTTATCATGAGTGGACTTCTGTTGGAAGGAGTTCAGTTAAGAGACTGAAAACAAACTATAAAAGTCTAAAATGTTTATCCTTTTTTAAATTCAGTATCATTTGCTCTAAGGTCTAATTAATGGACCTTGGAATTCATTTAATAACGAAAGGCAAACTAAAAACCACTTTTAAAAATAAATTAAAAGTGAAATAAAATAAAGCAGATTAAAAAACCATTTTTGAAAATGAAAAAGTAAAATACCTCTATCAGTTATTTTATCTACCAGCCTGCTGTGGACATGGAGGCCAACTAAAGAGAAACTAGGCATGATTTGGTGATAAATTCAGACTGTGTTGGTTTGATTCTTACACTGGCATACAACTACTCAAATGAGTTTGCTATTTTTGTAATGCATGTTTTTTTCACTGGAACATGTGTAATTTAAGGTGCTGTATTCAATGGTATTGGGGGAAGGTTCTACAACTGTTTATACCTGTTGCTTGGAAATGATGATGTTCTCCACAGGCTGGGGGTTCTTGAAGGCCTGCATCTCCTCTGTGATGTGGACCATGGAGCCAATGACAACAGCCTTGTGAATCCAGCCATTACCTAGTCAGAGGTAGTTAATTGTTTAAAGGAGCAACAAGAAAAATTAACTTTACAGTCTCATCATTAAGGCTTTGTTGTAGGATGTGGTTGTATCCTGACCCTGACTGGTAAATGAGAAATCTATCCAATTCCAAATTGAGATGGAGCAAAGGAACACTTTAATGATGTAGAGCTAGTCTGTGTTGCAGGGTAGACTTCCCAAATCTGTATCATCAGAATATCTTGGGATTGGAATTCTAAGAGTTGAAGACTTTTGGAGGAAATCAGATTTCAAAAGGCCACTTATAGCAACTACTACAAATCACAGATTTGCCTGACCCTCCCATTCCCACTACTGAGAACTGTATTTCTGAATTGAGTTAACAACATTCTAAATACTATCCAGAACTGTGTGTCCATGACGCCACCTGCCCCTTTCCAGAACAATATTCCCAATTCCTCTACATGGATTAAATTTGTGTCTTTTCGTAATCAAGAACTATTATTTTTGAGAGATGGGGAAATATTCACAAAATGGACAACTTCTCTGAGCATGGGGAGTTGAAAACAAGGAAGGGAGAAGTCTTTGTTTTGGAGGCAGGACTGGATGCACTCCCTCCAGAAGCAACACAGAAGGAAGTTGAATATAAACTGCTATAAGGAAAAATATAGCACCTGCTTGTCAATCAAAACTGAGCAACGCTGAGATAGCTTAGTTTTAGGGAAGCAAACTTCTGTACTATATAGAATATAGAGGTTTGGAAAACTTATAATAAACAAGGAAATTATGGTTAGACTTTCTTGCATACAGTCAAGAAAGGAGCTAACAACTAAAAGTTTCTTGAGTTGTTAGAGTACACCCAAACACACATAAACATATGATGAACTTAGTTGCAATTACCTGTCCCCAAAAAGAGGATGTCATACATGTGCCCATCCAGGGCTTGGACTCTGTCTACTGCAACTTGGGTGTAGACCACATTTTTCTTCACTAGCAGAGGGACTCTATCTGTAGGTTTCACCTCTTCATACATCAGTGGATGAAGCTTGATAAAATCCAGCACACCATTGGGTAGATCCTGGGAGGAGTTGTAGCCTCTTTTGCGGGCACGATTGGTAATGCACTGCAGAGGGGAAACTGCTATAATTGGCCCACCCAGATCCAAAGCTGTAATGTTCCTTTCTTTAACCTGGTTCCTTCCAGATGTGTTTTACTGCAGTTCCCATCATTATCAACTGGAAATGTTGGGACACATAATCCAAAACAACTGGAGGGACCAAGCTTGCAAAAGAGCTAAAGCATACAAATTAAGGCCTTCTGTGATATATCAGTTGATGGAATTGTACTCCTTCAAACTACAGCAAACGTCTGAATGCTCTCCCATATAATTTCCCCACATACTCAACCTACCTCATTTGATCATCTACCTACAGTAAAAAGTGGCACAACTCCTCTGTAATATATCACAGGGAGTTCCCATTTATATTTCACCCTGATCCTTGGATCTCTTGTGACAAGGGAGTACATGTGACTCCTGTACACTTTATCTGGATAAGGATGAAGATAAGATACAGATGAATACAACTCACTGATCCTGGTCGTGGTTCTGGTATCTCCCCATTGTACTGGGACCACTTGCGGGAGGAGTCTTGGTATTCCATGTAAGTCCCTTCAAAAGCTGCCCGCACCTCAGAGATGTTATATCGACAAACAGCAGACACCTCTATGCTCCTCCTGGAAAATATAGGGAAATGGTAGGAAAGGACTAAATCTAACCATCAATCATAAACCAAGAGAAGGGAAACTTAATTTCTGTGGAGGATTACATTCCCTTAGGACTAAGACAGGCAACCTTTTTGCAGTCAAATGATTGCCCTTCTTCATTTTTATATTTGTTTGGCTTCCAAGAAATTGTCATCAACATTACAGCAAGATACAAGGATTCACTGGGGCTTCGAGGCAACTTGTCTGGCAGACGATGTCAGTAATCTGCAAGTTTATCAATAGCACCAAACACAATCAGGCAGCTGTCAGGGTCTCCAAGTCCCAGTAGGAGTCACTACTGCCCCTTAAATCTCCCACAGTGTTTTTGATATAGGCTGTCTTTTCACAACAGGCCAAATTACAGTTTACTTAACCATATTTAATAACCCAATTATTCATACAACATGCTGAGCTATAAATCATGGTTTACAAATCACACAGCATTATGAGTTGTTGCTTTGATCAATCCCAGCTACAATGTTGCTCTGGGTCATAATAAGACATTGAAATAGTGGTTTGGACTCAGCTTCTTTTGCTGTTGCTAACCTGCCAGGAAGCACTTCATCACAGGGTCTCTGAAGCCTGCCATTGGTCTTGGTATGCTACCTTGATCTTGTGAACCTCTGTTTTTAGAACATATGTTGTACACCAAGTTCTTTATATAGTGCCACTCTTTGGAGCTGGCTCAGTCTCTTTCACTTAGCTAGTCTTTTCGATTTTTTGTTTCTGAATCAGATGACTTCTTGTCATAATCTAGGACCTTATAAGGAATCTGAAGTTTTAGCATTCTTTGTCATGCTCTGGAGAAAATACTGAGGCCTACAAATCCATCAGTTCTTCATATTCATGTATATCAGTTCTTCCCTGACACTTCTATATGTGTTCCATTCCTTTGACCCAAAAATGGAGAATCTATAGCCCATGGGTTGAATACAGCCCACTAGTCTTCCCTAAGGCCTAACTCTCAGGAAAGGCAAGGGAAAAGGGAAAAGGGAAGATGCAGAGGAAGGTGAAATCTTGGAATCTCAACACAGGAGTATCCGGCTAAGGACCCATTTCACCCAGCTGTCTGTGTCACACTGTAGGCAACTAGTTTCATTCAAGAAACTCAGAAAATATGGACAAGAGTGTGATAACCATCTTCCATTGTTGCTCTCTAGAGCTGGAATTCAAAACTTGCTTTTCTGAGATAATGGAAGTAGCAAGCAGCCACCAAGATTAGTTGCCACTGGTAGCTCCATCCTCAGTAAATTTGTCCAGTCTCCTTTAAAAATCTTCTAAATTCCTTTGGCCACCCTGACATCTGTGGGCAGCAAATTTCGCAGTTCAACTATGCTGATCCATGAGAAAAAAAAAAAAGACAGCTGAGGGTGCACAAGATTAGTATTATTTGTTTTTGAAGATAAAAGGAAGTCTTTTAAATTTGGAAAGATTACACATAAAATATCTTGTGCATTCCAAATGCTCCTTTGAGATCAATGGCAAGTGCTAATTATTAATAAATATATTTGGTATGCAGTCCCTTCACAATGGGGATGTAGCTCTCTGGGTGGTATTTGCTATAAATGCAGACTTCAAAGCTGACAAATATTACAAAAGCACAAAGGTGTTAATTAACTGAGGAGAACTTGTAAAAATTCACACTATCATTAAGAGAAAAATGCAAAAAGCTGGCCTGGGCTCAGTCCAGAAATTCTGAAGGAAAAAACCCCCCCATGAAACGATGGTTGTAGTTACAGTCCATATGGCAAATTGCACAGTCTTTGTTCCCAGTTAGGCCAAAGTGATTTTGCCAAAATATTGGGGTGATTCTTTTTCCTATCACTACCACCTTCTGCATAGTATTAATCTACATCACAGATAGTCACCCGGAGAACTTTCATAAAATGGCCACAGGAACTCTGGCTGGTTGCTGCACCAATTACAGGTGCCAAAGCATTTATAAGGACAGATGACTGTACCGGCAATCACAACCAAGAGTCTCTTGTGTTCCATCTATCCACCCACTACTGTTTGGTGGAATGAGGGTCAAGTACAATTTAAAAATCTGCCTGTCTTAGCCAATATAAGATGCCTAGGGTGACTAGTGCTAGGAGAAGAAGAGTGACCTGCTGCATCAGTACTTAAAAAAAAAAGTTCAAGAAGTATCTGAAGATAAGAGGAGTTAGCTCAAGGGCTCCTGAAGAGATCAGGAACATAATTACCAATCTTTTTTTCCCCTATCAACATCAGATGATTTTCTCAGTGCTTTAATGAGGTTAAATAGTAGAACATATATAGACTATGTTATGAAGGTCTCTAGAATCCTTTCAAAAGTGGGTTGAGTCTGTTGGCTTGGAACTCAGATTGAACTAATTTGTACCAGTTTGTGCAAATATTTTCTAGAACATCCAGACATATATGATGAACCTTTCTTGCTCTAGGACTTCTCCACATTATTTGCTACATGGGTCAGGATGCAAATTCTCCAATACAGCAGGCAGATTAGAATTGCATCCAATACTCACAGGCCCATGACACTGCCTGCCTAGTTTCTGCCTTGTTCCCTAAGCATTCCTAGCACTCTCCTTGCCTTCTGGTAAAGTTGATGGGTCACATCATGCAAAGTGTCATTTATGACACATTCCAACACACCTTTCCTGTACAGTTACCTCAGAGGCAACAATATAGCACATGTGAGCACTGTTTTGCCCTCACATACCTCCTTTGGTGTCTAACAGCTTCCCTCTTCCACTGACTATCTAACATAATGTTTTAATTACAAATGAATATGTCAAAAACTGACACACTTCAAAGCAAAACACATTTATTTCCAACTTTGCCTTTGTGCCTCATAAAGGTCCACTGGATGGTACCTTTTCAGACTAACAAACTTATTAAAAGGCATAAGCTTCTGTGAACCACAGGTCCTTTCAACAGATATATGGAGTGGCTGAAGCAATGTAGGGTTTAAATTGGGATGAGGCTGGGGGGAAAAAAAGGAAGGGAAAACAGGATGGTTATGAGGATATGAGACAAATTACCAATTAACAATTGTAAAGAGGGTCTTGGGAGATTCTCTTGCCTTTTGATAAAAAGCCATGGCCAAAAATGGCAGACATTTTATGAACCACAATAGCATTATTCTGCCTATCCCATGCTATCAAAATTCCAAATGTGCTCCTAACCTTAAAAACCACCTGTGCCCAAATTTATACTAAATCGTTGGTGTAAAAATGCTTGGCTCACCATTGGGCTGATAAGCTGAATGTTGCATAGAAGACAGTGCTCGTCCAGTTACCACCATCCAGACTGTCAACATCTTTCAGTACTTCATAGTAAGGGATGTAGCAGACCAGCCTTGCTTTCATGAAGGATGTCCATTTTCTCTGAAGAATCTTTTTGCCGCCAAGATCATTCTGGAACAGAAGAGAGCTAGGTTAAACAAATCCCTTACTCAGCTTGCATGCGCTTGATCAAATTAAGGGGATGACCAGAGGCGTCCATAGCCTCTACTTCATTTGCATAGTAGCTTGAACCAACCCTCCAAATGCCTTCACTAGTGCAAATGTATATTTACAACAGACCATTTTCTTTACCTTACACACTCGAGCCACTCGAGCTACTCTGGGCAGCTGGGTCTTCTCAAATATCGATGTGCTCTCCTCTCCAGCACGTTCAGTGAAGAAATAGTAGATTTTGTCATCGTCCCCCATGGAGTTCCTCATGCTCTCCCTGACCAACACAGAAGCCACAAACTCTGCATCTGCATATACCCAAGAGAAGGAAAAAGGTTAGCAAGGAAAAGTGTCTAAGGAAGATGCTGCTTGCACAGGATGGGTCAACCATCAAAAGCCTGGAGTCTCTCAAGCAAGTGAGGGAGGGGCTTTCGGTTCACACCTTGAATTCAGAGTTTTCCAGAAGCCAACTCAAATGGCCGGCTGTCAGTTTTGGGGAATGGAACTAAGCTATGATTCCAGACATACGAAGGCTAATGTAGGTAAATGCAGGATTGTCTTTCCTGTCTAGGAGGGTGAGGAACGAGAGAGCTGAGCTGTGGCTGTAGGACCCACCATTCAACCAGTGCAAGGGGGATTCCTCAGTCCTCAGAGCCCGCTGGTGCCGGCTGCGTCGGATGTCTGGTAGGCTGCGGAATTCATAGCGTGTTGCTGTATATAAACTGCCATCTGGGAAATAAATGCAGCAAAAGCAGTAAGGAAAATAAATCCCAATAGATTTGCTCACTAAGTGATCGACCTTTTTTAATAAACTCTCCTCTAGGTCTGTTACAGTCATTGAGGTGTGCCAGGGGCATAGCGATTTTAACATGGTTAGACACAGAAGGATTTTTCAAGAGACAGCCAGAGCGTTACCCACTCATGAAATTTCTTAAATAAATAAATAAGCTGCCCGCCTTCCAGAGACTCTGGGCGGTTACAAATTCTTAAAACATTTAAAAACAAGGAAACAACAAAGAGCCAACAACAGAAAGAATAAAGATGGTAAAAATGACAAAACTGGATGGGAACAAAGAAAAAAAGGGGTTTCAATCACCCTCACCAAAGGGGGTTTTTGTTTATGCCTCCATCCCTGCCTGGGGTGAGCACTGCATGTATGGCTGGGCTTTGGTTTCTGATAACAGAAGACACCACAGCTGCTTTGGCACCCAGAATAGGAAAACTAAGCGCCGGGGACAGAGATGCACTAGACCCTCAGGTAGTGATCGCTGGTGATGCCTTCCTTTGAAGTTCCACACAAACGCCCCCCGCCCCCACACTTCGGAGAGGAATTTCTCACTCTGCCCACTCTGAATCCAAGCAAAGTTGCAGCATAGAAAAGGGTTGTGGAGAAGGGAACTACATACCCACAATGAGGCCTGTATAGCCATGGGCAGGATCATAAGGGCATTTTTCTTTCCCTTCCTCAAAGTGAGAGGGTAACGTGAATTTATTGGTATCCTGCAGAAGATGAACAGAAGACGCAAGTCACTCTTAAGACAGAGAACTCTTCCCTGATGATCTTGGAGCTCCACTCTCCCACCATGGAAGCAAATACCAAATGTTCTAGGAGCAAGGTAGAGACAGGAAGGAATTCTTTCAAGTCAGCTGTATGCTCACTCCCCCAGAAAGCTGCTGGGTGCCTTTTGGGACAAGGACTCCCACTCTTCCACATACCCACTGCCCATTTACAGTACCCATACTTCCAGTTAATCAGAACAAGGGGACCAATATGGCTAGCTCATTATTTTTCTGGTAGACTACAAAGATCAGCATTTCCCAGAACTGAGAATAGTTCTCTCTCTGCAGAACACGTGCTGCTCAGTGGCAGTTTGGTTAGTGCAAATAATTGTAACAGTAAACTATGATTTAGCACAGAACTGCAGTACCTGGGGTCCCTGGGCTGTATGTACTCCTCTCCCAAAAGCTTGGGTACAGCTTCACCCAAGTGAATGACCTTCAACAGTTTGGATTGTGGCAATATATCAATGTGAGAAATCAATCAATCAATAATAAAATTTGTTTCACATTATAATATTGAATGTGACACAATGAGAAAGTATGTTTTACATGATCAGAATGTAATCCTATTGATTATATTTAATTTTAATTAAATGTCAATTAAACAAAAGCTTAGTTTAGATCTGGTTCTACCCCTACCTTTTGGAGTGTGCCCCGCCCCCCAGTTCACCAGGATGCCACTTGGTTGCAAAAAGTTTGCATGATTTTGGTTTGGCATAAGAGGTGAATCCAGTGTGTAGTTTCTACTGGTCAATAAATACCTTTTTCTAATTCCATCAATTTTGGGTTTTTTTTTCCTAAGATGCAGATACTTACACCTCCAGTTTCTCACACATTTATTTATTTATCAAATGTATATCCTATCACAATCACAAAAGGACACTCAGCAGCTCACAATAACAAAAACATAAAAACACCAGAAAGAAGGAAATTGTAACGACTTAAAAAATCCCGGAATCATGTAACAGGTCAGAACCAAAAGCCCTCTGGAATAGCTTGCTCTCAGCTTGTTCCAGAAGGCAGGTAATGTTGGGAACAACTGAGCCTCCAATGGGAGGCTATTCCAGGGGGCTGATCCCATTGCAGCAAAACAATGCTTCCAAGCCTTGGTCCAACTCTAGTGGGGAGCTGCAGTCCTGCAAGTGGCCTGGTGCCAAGACGTGAAGAGCTTTATTGATTAAAAACAGACTTTAAATTGCAACCAGAAAATAATGGAGAGCCAGTCCAGGGCCGCAGAACAGGTTTAATATGTGCTTACTGGTAAGTACCCATGAGCATCCAGGACACTGCATTTTGAACCAACCAAAGCTTTCAGATGTTTTTTAAGGGTAGCCCCATGTAGGGTACCTTACAGTAGTCTAATCAGGTGGTAAGCCTCCTGTCCCACGTAAGGATGCAACTGACCTCCACCCATTTACCCAGCAGAGCCATGATTCCAGGAGGACCCTCAAGTTGCGGACCTGCTCTTTAATTCCTCTCTCCTTCCCAACCCCAATACCAAAATTGTTTTTAAAAGTAACTTCTAATAATGCCAGTTGAGTCAATCATGCAAGTATAATTGGAAATTGAACAAAATGAGAGATGTTTCTTACTCCAGGAGTTTAGAACCACCGTGCTGGTTTTGAGCAAAAGCAGTAATGCCCTCCTTGTGAACCAGATGGTTGGCCTCAATTAGCATTTAGCATTAGCTAATTAGCATTAGCTACTTGGCCTGAGGAGGAGCACTCAGTGCACGTGGACTGGAAGTGACTGGAGCTCTGATGCAGAGCACCAAATGCCCATACAAAAGTTTGAATTTATCCAAATCTTACATTGTGGCAGATTTACTACTTTATCTTGACCTACTTGTCTTAACATATTTTATACAAAACTATTTAATGACATTCTTTTTTGGACTGATCAACTACCATTTTAAAACAAAACACTGTAAAGCAGAAAAACACAACTTGAAGACCCAGGATCACATATGTTGCTTCTAACCCCCTCCAAAATTTCACATGGTTTGGGGGGGGGGGGGGAGTGAGAGAGAGAGAGAAACAAAGGGGAACATAATTAAATACATGGGGAAATCATACTACTTGTACTTAATTTACATTTAGTTTATGTCCTGGTCCTAGCCATTTCTTAATCCTGCCCTGCCAACTTTGGGGATTGTGCTTTCAACTGCAACTTGGAGACCAAGGGCAGCTCTCCGGTCCAAAAAGACTGTCCCCTCTAGGTGTAAAGTAACAGTTTAGAGTATAACAGTTACTAGTAGAAACATTTCCAGACATTTCTGGAAAATAAAAACAAATATAAGCACAAACACTAAAAGATCTGGAAAAATAACCATTTTCTTTTATTTGTGTTTCTCTCATTCTCAATCCAACCGGCATCCATGAGAAAATAATATTTACTCTGAAATGTAAGCACCAACAGGAAAGAGTCTTAGCTTTATTCCAACTTCCTAGTAACATTTTTATTCTTCTGAACTTTTGTAACTATCTTAGACCATCCCTAAACACCCCAAGTTCAATGTATCTCAAGCACTATCACCTCCTCCCAGACAATATTTGCTCCTTCGCAGCAATATTGAAAAGAGGCCCAGCTCTTTCTTTGGAGTTTAGCTTCCTATTGCACAAAGTGAGACAGCAATGAGGTCCAAATCCTTTTAGGGATTTGGAAGCCACGTCCTTCAATTATTTTGAAGTACATCCTTTCTTAAACAAGGTTCTGATTGTCAGAGATTTCAGTGAGCTGATTAAGATGAAGCCCAAAGAACTGCCTGAGAGCACAGCTAATCCCATCTCAGCAAATGAAAGGTCCTGACCATAAGGATGCAGAGCACAGAGTCTCAGCTGAGTCCTAAGAGAAGCAAATGGCACTTTTTGGCAAATCTATCAGGCTCAAGAAGAATCTTTCCTAGAAGGCTTGTCTGGTCTCCTCACTTCTGACTTGTTGGAAGTTCATTATGAAGTCTGTTTCAGGGGTGACTTGGGATGGTGCAGCTATTTCTTGTAATTGTTTAAAGCAGAGTGCCTAAGCTAAAGCTTTGGATGTACTGTACTCTTCAGAGGCTTCCAAATGTTTTTACCAAACTGTAATTTTTAATATGACACATGAGAAAACTATTAAATATATGATTGAGAATAATCATATTACCTATCTTTAATTTTAATTAAGATCATATACATTAAATGAGATCAAATTTAGGCCTTGGACAGAAAACATTGTGCACCCTTGTTTTAAAAAAATCAGTCCTAATTTAATGATGTTTTCAGGATTCCATTCCCCATCTTTTAATTTTTTTAAACTCTTTTCTCTGTTTTAAGTTGTAGTACTGATTTTTAAAAAAATCTGTGCTGTTACTGTTCTATAGCTGGGTATAATCTATATCACCTTTGTTTCTTCAGTCCTCACCATGCCTTGTTTAATTTTTTAAAAATATATTATAAAAGGTGAGACAAATATGTTCTGAAGCAAACAAGATTGTAGGAAAATAAGCCAACAGTAGCAGAAATTCCTTTTCTTGCTGTTCAATAAATCCATAATTCATTGGTGAATACTGGGCTGTTTTCCAAGCCACATTTTTTTCAGCAGGAGACTAATGGATTGGAGGGTATTCCGATCCATGGAGGATCTGCTTGATGTAAAAGACATAGAAAGATGCAGAGAACTTTATACAACAACTCTAGGCAGCTTACAATTAAAATAAAACAGTATACAGTATATCAAAAAAGAATACAGCTAACTGGAAGACCAACTCAATAACACGAATTTTCCATTGGAGTTGTGCGGCCAATAAATTTAAATAAATAATAATCATAAAACCAAAAACCAGAGGGACTTGACCACCATCCTATCCCAAGGTTTGAGAGAACAACCAAGTTTTTAATAGTTTGCAAAAAGTCAGTAAGGTCCCATGCTATCATCCATATCAATTTTGTTCCCACACTTTCTTCTGTCTTGGCTGCCCACAATCCTAAACTGCACAACTTCCATTTTGCAATCTGAAATGCTTTAGTTCTGCAGGGCTTGTGGGCAGGCAGCTTTCCTGTTGGAGAGAACTCCTGCTAATGCCCACTCCTGACTCCTGTCCTGGTCTTTCCCCTTCCCTTCCCTTCCCTTCCCTTCCCTTCCCTTCCCTTCCCTTCCCTTCCCTTCCCTTCCCTTCCCACCACATCACAGATAAGCCAACTAAGCAGATGGAGACCCTGGTCCCTCACACCAGGCTTTACGATACTTTATTAAGCAATTAAAGTGTCCATTGCAATTTTTTTCCCCAATGCCAACAGCAAGACAGTGAGACGTGGATGGACTGAGCTTGATTTCTTGGAACAGCTGTAGAATGATGTTGTCATGGAAAAATAATAAAGTAAAGCTGGAAACTCTCCCCCCTTCCCCTTGCCTCTCCTGCAGCAAACTCTTTACTCCTCCCTCCCCCTTGCCTCTCTTTCTGCCCTCCCCCCACCACCACTCCTGCAATTTCTTTTCTCCACTTCCTTCTGCCATTCTTTGTTCATGCAAAACAGGATCAGCTCCAAGCCATTGCATGACCTAAGAGTGACTATGTTCTGCTGCCAAAAATAGCCCTCTTAACTCTATCATACTGAAACAATGGGAGGGCCATTACCTGTCTGCTTAAGGGTTTGTGGTTCTTATCTCATTTATCCCCCATTTAACACCTATCCAAACCTATCCTCTAATCAGATTCCTCAGATTTCCCACCTCTCAACCTCAAAAGTGTGTAAATTCTATCCTTTTCTATTGCTCAGGGTCCCTTTTTCTTGAAAGCAGGCACCCAATGATCATTGCAATAAACATGGTTCTTCTCAACATTGTGCTCCTGTCTTTGGCAAAATTCCACGACAATGTCGATTATTCCAAGACTGTCTATGAAGGCAATACAATTCTCTGGAAGAATAAAAATGCTAGTGGTGTGGAGGTCCCCTTTATTTATAGGGAACAGCTTAAAAGATACATGTATGGAACTGACACAATGCATGGAACTAAACAAAACAAAAAAGAAGCATCTAGTACAGCAAGAGACAAGACAGTACAAATAGATGCAAGTGGCTAATAAAAGCAGAAGAACGCAATTGTTCCAGTTCCACAAGGACAACATGTGATCCAACCAACTGATTTATAGAAGCATCATACTACATGTGAATGGAAGAATAAAGGAGACAAAAAAGAAGAATCTTGTGTAAAATATGTCCTGCACTGAGGCACATTTCAGCCCTGCTTCATGGATTTAAGAGTGAGATCAGTGCAGGAAGTGTCCAAAGGCCTAGAAAGGAAGTGAAGGGTAGGAATAAAGAGATCTCAGGAAAGCTTCACAGCATCTAGATATCTTGAAGAAACTACTGAAAGGCTGCAATTGTAGCATCTTTCACATATTGAACTGAAGTTGTTACCTAGCTGAGTAATGAAGCATTTGCAAGAGAAGAACCAAGCTCAGAGAACCCCAGGGACTCCAGAGATTGAACTGGGGCTGGGATAATTCAAATGACTGAATTTCAGTGCAAGGATATACCTAAAGAATACAAAGAAAGAGTTTAAGGAAGATAAAGGAAAAATGAAAGCATAACATGGAGAAATGTAGCAAGACCCTGGGAAAAAAAAACAGAAGAGACTGCCAAAGGCAAAACATGGATTCAAAGAGAAGATAATGCTCTCCGGAGAATATACCAAATGAAATGATTATACCATAGATCTCTGTCCAGCAAATGTTGAAGTATATGCTTCAAAGCTTAAATGCAATGTTCAAGCAACAGGAAGAACTTTCATCCTAAATGTAATTACTTTGACATTGAAGCAATTGTTCTGTCGTTTTTGTTTCTCAAACGATGCCATTCTAACTAACAAGAGCTTTTATTTTTCAAAAAGGAACTTATCTTCTGACATCTTTTGACAATTGTGTCAACTATATCATGCAGCTTATGGGGGTCCAGATTTATACTAGTTTTATACGAAGATGATATGGATTATTTTCTTTCTTCTCTTCCCTTTATGTTTTAGTTTATTTTAATCACTATTAGATATTGTATTGTTCTATCACTGTTGTATTACTTTTGGTTTGCTATATTTCACCAAGAAAAATTAAACACAAACATATATACCACCATATCTTGAAGCACTCAAGTCCACCAGTTACATAGAGATTTTACAAGGGTTCTTGTGGAGAGAAGACATTACAAAGACTGGATCACCTCTCACCCCTGTAGGATTATCCTCTAAAACAGTTTTTATTGATCAGTATTAAAGACTAAAGACTGAAAAGGATGAAATTCATCTCAGTTTTAAGGAATTATAGTTCATCTTTCTCTTCCAAATCTGCTCCCGGAACCTGGCTTCTGATATCCCCATATTCCCCCCCCCCAAAAAAAGCTCTCCACAGCAATGGGGCAAATCATAAATTAGGTTATGAATTTAAAAAGGGGGGGGGATACAGGGCTGCTTGTCATTCATAGAATTTTGCATCTCAACTCAGCATCTTGGACTGTGACTAAAAGAACACCTCCTTTCTGTGGGATCCACTGAGATCAATTTGACAGTATCTATTAAATACACTTCTCACACTGGTAGTAAAAAGAGAGGCAGAGGGAGTGTAACAAAGCTTTATCAATTCTTTATCAACAACCTTTCTTGTTCTTTGAAGTGCAGTATCCAAGGAGATTTGTCTAAGCCTGACCCTATAGGTCTCCTCAAGGTCTCCTAAAGCTTTGCATTTAGAAAAGCATTTGATTTCTTTTCTATTTTTTAGAAGTCAGAATGCATTCCTTTTTAATTTCACAATAAAGCAATCAGATTAATTAAAAGATTAAAGTAAAGAATAAAATTTTGAATCTATACATTGAATACATAGGTATTTGTGTGTCATTAACATAGATATAATAGCTAAATAAACATAACTGGGGTTAAATGATCCTTGAAAAAGCAAGGGTTGATATTCTTTTCCTTTGAGTGATGGAATGTGAAATTAAATACAATCTACCAATAGTAGAGATGTTCCAACAATAAAAACAAGAAATCCTATCACTAGTGACATCATATAATATGACCTACTGTAACTGGTCCACTAATTAGAGAGAGCTGGGAGAAAATGTATTTCCCCAGCTATAGCCCACTGGAGTTTCAATGTAGAGAATGTACCATTTATCTGCAGCAGATGTACCAGCTTGAAGAACAATGGATCAAACATAAACAAGAAGCAGCTGAACAGGCCTTCATCCCAACTCTGCTCCCCCATTACATAAAAGAGCTATTGAATCATTTTTCCTACCAAGAAAAACTCCTTTATTTATCTGACTACTAGTAAGTATATATCTAAAATCACAGATGTTGATCCCTGTTGTTCCTCCAAAAATCCAAGAATATACTATTTATGATATATTTAATAACACTGTGAGATAGGTTAGGCTGGAATAATATGATTTGCCCAAGATCAGCTTCACAGTGGAGTGAGGATCTGAACCACAGTCTCCCAGATTCCACCCCAATATTTTTTTCCTTGACTCCAAATAACATGATGCATTCCAACATTAATGAAATCAATGTAAATATGAATGTACAGTGACTTAATAAAGGCATATTTGTGCTTTCATTTTCCTGTGTTCTTTATGGAAAATAAGGTTATGTTAGTCTTCACCAACTTGGTGACTTTCATGGACAACTGGCTGGGAATTACTGCAGTTATAGTTTAACACATGGAAAGCTTGAGTTTGGGGAATGTTGTTTTATAGGAACAAAATTAAAGGAGTGCTGTTCAGAGCATCAGTCTAGGCTCAACCGCTTCCTGAAAATCAACAAAGAACAGTGAGGGAAAAAAATTGGCAAGATCTGCCTTTGTCATGGCAAGCTACAGAAATAGATTCTCTTCCTCCAGACCGTTCCATTCCACCTTGGCAGGAATTAGCAATGGAAGAGCCAGGATTGGAGACTGATTTATTACATACTACCAGTTCCATATGAAAAGGCTGTTGATCAGAATAATGACTGGGAATGTCAGAAACCAGTTGATAATAATTCCTTCAAACTTGTGGGAGAGAATCATTTAATTATGGACTCCCTATCACCCTCATTTCACTGCAGATAAGTAAAATGAAAGCCCAAGGCAGTGGTGAAAATCCCCCCCACCCCCCACTTTTACTTACAATGTATGTGCAGAGTGGATGGAAGGCATATGTGCCACAGGCATACAGATGGGTTGAATTTAGTCTCTGCAAAAGCTTGACATGATTGTAACACTCTGTCTACAAAGAGGAAGCAAGAACATAATTTTCATAGGACTTCTTGTACCATTTTCTTGTTTGTTAAAGGTTCAAACAAGCTAGTCAGATACCCAGAAAGAGGCAGAGGCAATGCACCTACCTTGTTGTTTTTGCCTTTCTTCAGGCATTCTGCTTGCTTCTCAGGAGATGCTTCCCAATCTAGCTGCAAAGTAACAGAAAACGAGTTCGTTATTCTTTCAGCCATCCCAGCACAGGAAACGGGTTAATTATGACATTAAAAAGCAAACCCCATGAAGCTCACAAAACCCCTTCAGAGTTCATGTTTAGCTTTGTTCAGAATAAGTGAATTTATCTAAAAACAAAGCAGGGAAGGCACTAGAGAGTTTTGTAGCCCATTTATTTTGAAAGGTCCTTGACTGAAATGAGAGTTTTAGGCTGCTGCTACATACTGTGGAAAAATAGTTTTTATGGATATTAGAGAGGGTTTTACCCCTTCAAGAGTTGCTTTCTCATTCTGAATAAATAGAGAGCAGGGGGCGGGGTAAACACAAGGGGCCCAAATAAGAGTGCAAATATATTATTTCTGCACTAATGACCCCCAGCCATTTTGACCCTGATCATCATGCTAAGCCACAATGTACAGTCTGGCTTTCCAGGTGATTGCACTGTTTACAATGCTCTCTCCCTGAAATTCATGCTATACTTCAACTACATCACTTGGGTGGCTCTTGACAGCCTTCTGGGCATAAATGCTTCATTCTTGCTTTCCTTTTTTTCCTTATATTTTAAACTGTACACAAAACTTTTTATACTGTTTTAATCTATATTTGCATTTTATATTTTGTTTACTATAAACTGCTTGAAATTTCCAGTAATGGTAAGTGGTTTAAAAATAAAATAAAACATATAAATAAGATCTCAGCTCTTCTCCTCCCTTGGTAAATAAACAGGATAAAAGAAATCTCAAATTTACCCCCAATGTCTATCTCCTTGTGAAAACAGCCTTTGAGTGACTATATTCTAACATAATAAAGGCTATGTGGAGATACAGAACATTGCATCTCAGTTATCTATTTCTATGCCACTTTTCAAAACACCGGGCCTAAAATGTTTCACTACATATAAAACAGACAACAATATATATAACAATTCAGAAAAGATAAAGGGTGCAATAATGTATAAGCTCTATCCTTAAATAATACATATGAAAATATCAACCCAAGCAACTCTACATAAAATAATAAAAAGGAACTAATCTAATCTAACCAATCCACTAGGAAAGAGCATTCTCTCCATCTTTTTTCCATATGTATCTTTCTGCTGTAACCTGAATTTAGAGGGAGAAGAAAAGAATCTGTTCCTAGTTAGAGCAAAAACTGAATTGCACAGGACTGATTGGCCAACCCTCAATCAGTCATATCTCCTTATCAAAGCAGATTTCAAATTTAAATTGAGAGTAAAAATATTTTAGGCAATAAAGAGCTGAAGAAAATCTAACAAAATAAAATACTCAGCCCTTCTGAAGTACGAACTTGTGCCGTGTATACATTGCTCTTGAGGCTGTTTGAAGAACACCTGATGAACTAAATAGAGCTGAGTCCACAGCTGTATCCATTCCTCCTTGAAATTTTCTGTACAGATCCCTTAATGATATGCATTTACCAAAGATACCAGACAGCTAGACAGATGCAAATATAGCATTAATTCCTAAAGAAGGTCAAGACTTGATTTTACCGAAAAATTATTGACCAATATCTTTACTGAATAATGATTATATGATATTTACAATGTTCTAGCTGAAAGGATGAAAAATGTCTTGCAAGATTTTATTCATGAAGATCAGTGTGGCTTTTTACCTAAAAGACAATTAAGGGACAATATCAGAGGTAATCTTGACATATTAGAATACCTGGAGTAGCAGAATACTTGGAGTAGCATAAAACAAGCCATGTTGATTTTCCTTGATGTGAAAAAAGCATTTGACAATTTGAACGGGACTTTTTTGTTTTAAAATCCTGGAATAGATGAACTTTGGAGAAAATGTTATTAAATGGGTAAAATCGATATATACTTTACAAAAAGCACAAATTATAGTTAATGGGGAACTGACAAAGCTCTGTGAGATACAGAAAGGAACAAGGCAAGGATGCCCACTTTCTCCACTGGTATTCATTCTAGCTCTTGAAGACATAAGACAAGATGAGAGAATCGCTGAGGTGAAGGTTAAAAAAGAAGTATACAAATTAAGGGCATTTGCAGATGATTTGGTTTTAATTTTGGAAAATCCTATGGAAGGAATAGAGATATTAATGGAAAAATTAAAGGAATTGGATGTGTTAGCTGGATTTAAAATTAACAATAAAAAACAAAGATGTTAATAAAAATATAACAATGGAAGATCAAAAAGAATTGATGGTAAAAACTGGCTTTCAGATTGAGAAAAAAGTAAAATATCTGGGTATTACTATCTCTAATATGAATTGTATGTTATTTCAAAATAATTACGTTAAAGTATGTAATGAAATTAAGAAAGATTTGTTAAGATGGGAGAAGTTGCAATTATCACTCTTTGGGAGAATTTCTGTGGTAAAAATGAATGTACTACCTAGAATGATGTTGCTATTTCAAACAATACCTGTTTTGACTAATGACACACCTTTTAAGCAATGGCAGAAAGATATATCTAGATTCATAAGGCAGGGGAAGAAACCAAGGGTTAAATATAAAATTCTTCAAGATGCAAAGGAAAGAGGAAGATTAGGCCTGCCTGATTTTAAACTGTACTTTGCAGCCTGTTTTTTGGTTTGAATGAAAGAGTGGGTGCTGTTGAGAAATAAGAAAATGTTAGAATTAAAAGAATACAACCTGAGGTTTGGGTGGCATGTTTTTTTGTGGTATGAAAAAAATCATTATGTTAGGAATGCCATATTAACAATATGAAACACATATAATCCCAGGCTGTGCCTGAAAATACCCTTACAGTATTGTTTCAGCACAAGAAGCATTTTATAGAAAAGAAACAACGGGCAAAGATGAATAGTTAATATATCAAGATTTGTTAGTACAGGAAAACGGAGAACTTAAGATAAAGTCTAGAGAACATCTGATTCCACAGGGATTTAGTTTTCAATGGTTTTCATATGCACAATTAAGAGAGAGATTTAATATAGATTAAAGGGTAATTGGTATTGAACAACGTAAGACGGAATTTGAAATTGAATTATGTACAAATGATGGACATGTTATTGCTAAAATGTATATACTTTTGCTGAGATTTGAAACAGAAGAAGAAGAAGTTAAAGAATGCATGATAAAATGGGCTAAGAACTTTCATTATAACAAAAAGATGGACCAATGGGAGAGAATGTAGATAAAAGGGCTGAAATTCACATTTTGTTACAATTTAAGAGAGAACTTTTATAAAACGATGTACCATTGGTATATGATTCCAGAGAAATTATCAAAGATGTATGAAGGTACTTCTAAGCAATGCTGGAAATGTGAAAAAAATGAAGGGACATTTTACCATGTATGGTGGACTTGCAAAAAAGCAAAAAAATATTGGATACAAATACATATAATGATACAAAGAATTTTAAAGACCAATATTCAGATGAAATCAAGACTTATGGAAGACTGATTTTGTGTATGGTAACTGCAGCGGGACTGTCATATGCACAAAGATGGAAAAATAATGAAATATCTACAGTGGAAGAGTGGACCGTGAAGATGGCAGAACTTGAGAAAGTGATCAGGGATAAGACAAGTACTTTTATAAAAAAAACTGGAAACCTCTTATGGACTTTTTTGCTGAAAATGGAAAAAAAAGAAAATGGTGATTTATGGATTTGCTGATTAAAAAGGGTTGTATATGGGAAGTAGAGAACCATGTTGTAACTTTAAAGAGGGAGGCGATATAATGAATATATTTGTAACTGCTATAAAGAAGTTCAGAAAAGGTTTGTTTATATATCTTTTCTTTTATTTTTCCTGTCTACACTGTATTTTCTACTTCTTTTATCTTTCTTTCCTTTTTAATTTCACTCTATATAATTTCATGTTTATCTTTTATTTATGTGAAAATCTTTAATAAAAAATATTTTAAAAACACACACACAATGTGCATTTACCAAGGAAAGACAGCAGGCATGGCAACTGGATAAAACAACACTTACTATCTGATAGGAGTCATCAGTAATGTCGCTGGAACTTAAGGAGAAGATTGCCCCTCTGGCTCCCACATATAGAATTCCCTTCTCCTCTTCCAGCAGGAGGGTGGTGTAATTCTGGGCATGGCTGCTAAAGTGCCTTGCATGCTTCAAAGCTGGGGAGAAAAAGAAAGAACTTCTATAAACAAGAATACAGAGAAATTTGAGACCTTAAAGCGCTATTGATATCTTCAGTATTATATTGCTAGACTATAAGTAAACCAACCAGGCAGGAATTATCATGGAGGAAACAAATTAATTCTTATAAAACCCTTCCTGGATTTTCAAATGCCATCCAAAATATGCATAATATTTTTCAAATAGATTTTTAGATATAGACTTAAGAAATGTAGATTAGTTGCCAGTTTACTTCTAGGTGCAAGTCAAGGTGCTGGTTATGACTTAACCTAAATCCCAACATAGCACAGAGCCCAGTTATTCGAGGGACTGCTTATTTGCCATAGTATCTACCTGTCAAATTCAAGCTGACAAGATTGGTGCACCCTGGATTTCTTCTTTTTTTAATTATATTTTATTAATTTTTTTAATTACAAAAAAAAGAGGAAAAAAAAGTGCTTTAACCTAAAAGTGAAAAAATACAACAACAAAAGAAAGTTAATATATCATTATAATAGTACACAGTTCCAATTCT